AACAGCCGTTTCCAAATACTATAATATCGCATATTACATATCAATTTAACGGGCATCCAAAGACCTTTTCGTATTTCTATATACGAAATCAAATACTAGCACTGCCGGCGAACTACTTCTTCTTCTTCCCTTACACCTTGTACCTCATCAAAGTGTTGCGGGGGGGGGGGGGGGGGGGGTAACAATAGCCCATGAGCTCTGCCAAGGGCACTGTTAAGACTGATGTTCATTTTTGTAAGGTTGTTCTTAATTCCATCACTCCATATTTTTGATGTCTTTCATTCGCTCTATACCAGTTGTAACGTTTTAATGTGGCTTACTGTGGCAGATTGTACCAGGGCATTCTTGTTAGGTGTCCAAACCACTTCATTTGTTGTTTTTTGATGACTTGTAAGACTGGCTTTATTTTTAGCATTCGTCTGATTTCGTATTCTGTCCTTCCTTGAAACTCCTGCAACTCTTTTTAGGCATTTCATCTCTGCTGTCACAATTTTACGTTCGTTGGATGATGTAAGTGTCCACGTTTGGCACTGATAGAGTAAAGTGTGTGCGAGAAAAATAGTTCTGATGAGATTCACTTTAGTACTCCGGGGTATCTGCTTGTGTGTCACAGGGGAGATAGTTGTCCCATTACTTGATTAGCAATACTCAAATTCCTCTGTTTAGCGTTGTTTTTTTAATATCATTTCCTAATTATCTTTATGTCTTCTATCACCATTGTCTCTGTCTTCGAATTGTTTATTTTCATATCATATCCCTTTCTTTTGTTACTAATTTGATTTAGGTGTTTCTGTAGGCACTCCGTACTTTTTTGCTATATTCTGTAATTTGGTTTTCTTGACTAAAGCTCGTTTTCTTACATGCCGACGAACTACGAAACCATGAACTCTACGAACTCTATTCATAAATAGCTCCAGACGGGCGTGTTCGAAACTAAGAAACTAGTCACCATACCGAGATATCATTGGCTCTATTATTTGGAAGCATTTGATTGGTCCCTATGAGATATTTTCCTGAACAAATATATTGCGCAAAGCGTGGGGTTCCCATTGTTGATGTTTTGATTCATGGCGGTAGCTTACGGTTTGACGCCAGTGTTTTAGTGAAAATTATTTTACACGCTGTCATTATGGCAAGAAAAGGATTTCGCTTTGGACAAAAAAAGATAAACAAAAAGCCCAGAGGAATTCATGCAAGGAAACTTAGGGAAGCTTTGAATTTGAGGTAATTTTACTAACTACGGGTTGTTTTGAATTGGTAAGTAGTCGCCATCGGACGTCGAATACACCCTGAGGGAAGTCTAAACTCACGTGCATGTACTCCATTGCACGGTTCAGACCCCATTCCGATGAAACTTTCACATTATACGTGAGCGAAAATAGCTAATTTGCGCCATTCGCCTCAACGGACGAAAAAGCGTACCGCCATTGTGGCTGTTTACACCGGAAGAGAAATGGGAAGGATAGACGACTTTGGTGGCAGTGAATCCACATCACTCGCCAGAATGGCAGACTTGGGAATTAAGATCGGCACAGCAAAAAACGAGACGCACACCAGCTACGCCAGAAGACTTGTTAATCAACATAGAACTGGTACTATTAGCCATCGGACGTTGGGGTTCATACTGAGGGGAGGATCTGAGGGCGCTACTTTGATCCATTCCCCAAAATGGCGGCATGCCACATTCTGGCCATAAAATATCCAAAAATATCCGAACGACGGTGTTCCCGTATATCTAAAATACGGACTGTCTGCCAAGGGACAAATAATCGCGGCAAAACTAGGATTACTTGACAATCACTATTAACATTGCACACGGTGCCGACCGTTGACAACAATTTCGAGCATTTCTGCGACTCCGATACTAGCAGACGATATTAGCGACCGTTGACCAATTTCGAGACATTACAGACGATGAAAACGATTAGCAATACTGTGTTCTTCTGATTGGAGGATTTAGCAGCGGTAGATGTCAGACTTGTCGGCATGCGTCAAACGCGATTAAACTTATCGCCGAGCGTATCTAGGTGCCTGGGACTCACGAGTACAGTAATTGGAGGAAGTTGCAGGAGATGCGGTAGCTGCCACTCGTGAGTCCCAGCCATCTAGTTTAGCCCCCATCCGCGCCGCGCGTAGCGGCGCGGGGGATACGCTCGGCGGTGAGGCACACTCGCAGAAGCAGGTCGGCAAGCAACGTATCGCCCAGACCCTGTCAGAGCATTTGTTTCGTTATTCGGAGCCGGCACATATATTTTTAATAGAGTTGACCCCGCATTCGGATATTTTTGGATATTTTATGGCCAGAAATTGGCCAATTTAGCTTCTTTTTGAACGCCATCATATTAAAGCCGCCATTTTGGGGAACGATTCAAAGAAGCGCCGATCTGAGCACCTATGGACATGTCCGGAGTGCAATGAGGATAACCCAACTAACTAACTAACTAATTACTACTACTAATCAGGCTCTCCTTCGAGTTCGAACTGCGTCCCTATATTAATAATTAATATTATTAATATTATTATCAATAATATTATGGTGGCCAAACAGGCTCTCCTCCGAACTTCGTCCTAATATTATGGCGGCCATTAAATATCCTTACGGGGCTCAGGCATATGTAAAATGCGGACTTTCTGCCAAGGAACAAATCGCGGCAAAACTAGGATTACTTGACAATTTCAAGAGACGCAACATTGCAGTTGCAGACGATAAAAGTAAGCGACTGTTAACAATTTCGAGCGTTTCTGCAGACGATAATAGCGACTATTGACAATTTCGAGACATTACAGACGATGAAAGCGATATGGCGGGTAGACCACGCTCTCCCACGCAGATTAGCAATACTGTTCTTCCGATTGAGGATTTAGCAGCGGTAGATGTCAGACCTCCCGATCTGTATCCTCACTGTCACACTTTTCGGCATGCGCAAAATGCGATTAAACTCACCGGCGAGCGTATCCCTGGGACTCATGAGCAAATTAATTGGAGGAAGTTGCAGGAGATGCGGTAGCTGCTGCTCGTGAGTCCCAGCCATCTAGTTTAGCCCCCCCACGGGGGATACGCTCGGCGGTGAGGCACAGTCACAGAAACAGGTCCGCAAGTTACATATCGCTGAGACCCTGACTGTTAGAGCATTTCTTTCCTCATACTGAGCCGGCATATTTTTCATAGATCATCCCGTAAGGATATTTTATTTTATGGCCGCCATAATATTAGGACGAAGTTTGGAGGAATGCCGCCAAACAAATACCCTAACAGGGCCTCAGTCGTGTGTAAAAAGCAGACTTCCTCCGACAAAAACATTGCGGCAACACTAGGATTACTGTCCGTTAACACTTTCGAGAAACGCAACAATACACACGATAATAGCGACATGGAGGGGAGACCACACGCTCCGACGCAGGTTAGCGAATCATAGTGTTGTTCCGATTAAACTCACCACCTAGCGTATCCCTCCTGCCGCTACGCGTGGCACGGATGGGGGGGCTAAACTAGATGGCTGGGACTCACGAGCAGCAGCTACAGCATCTCCTGCAATTTCCTCCAATTTATTTGCTTGTGAGTCTCAGCCATCTAGTTCAGCACCGCGCGTAGCGGCGCGGGCGATACAGTCGGCGGTGCGGCATAGTCGCAGAACAGGTCCGCAGTCAACATGTCACTGAGACCCTGTTAGAGTATTTGTTTGCCTTCGATAATATTGGCCCGTTTTTCTGAGGCGATCCTAGTTTTGTCGCGATTTGTTCCTCGACAGGCACTCCACATTTTACACTCGGCTGAGGCCCTGTTAGGGTATTTGTTTGGCCGCCATAATATTGGGTCGAAGTTCAAAGGAAAGCCAATATTTACAATGTTGCTTCACCACCAGTTTCGCTTTGTTTTGCTCGCCATAATAAAATTAATGCTATGATTTGATTGACGCTAATTTGATGCTTCTTTCATTTTTATGTTCCACTTTTACTATGGATGCTGACGTCAGTGAGCCTACGGGTGCTGCTAAAATTGCACACCCGGAAAGCTATGTTAGAGCCGAGCAGAAGTTTGATGTATACTAGCGATTTCGTTGTTATGGAATGTAAACAATTAAACCGGAAATGGATTTGCTTGGTAACACAAGGGACTTCCTGTCCCTGAATTTTAAGCGTTTCCATACTAGTCACTATAAAAACCCGAGTTACTCAATACTGGCTGTTCAGAAACGAATCCGAACACGCGCGATACCTGTAGCAGGCCCAAAAAATAAAATTGGACTAAACACCCTATGTATACACACAAGAATAATATTATTATGATTAAAAAATAAGTAGTAAGATCTCAGAAACAGTAGGAGAAGAGACAGAACAGCATAGACCTAGATACACAACTTGACTGACTGGACAGGTATTAGGCATGCAGCCATGAAGTCCACAGCATCTGATGGTCAAAGGTGGAGGGAGCTGATCACAATCATCAGTAACTGGTGATTCAAAGAGACACAATTTACGTACAATGATGATGTAGTAAAGAACTCTTTTCATGTCAGACATGTTGCTAGACTCCTATTTTTGTGCACTAGTTGGCACTTGATGAGTGATGTGGTAAACATCAGCAAGCGATAAACACCTGGTGACACAAAGTGCCACTATGTAGATGAGGATCACCCGTGGAGAGGTCACAGAAACCCTTTTCATCCGTTATGGCCACATTTGTGGCCCAACTATATTCAGGGCCCTGGCAGGGTGGGTCTGCAAATAATGAAAAAAGGCATCCGACAAGGGGACGACTTCATGATTATTCAAGACATTACCTGATATCTATTCTCAGCTGTGTCGCCGTGAGTGCTAAAGTGGTGTTTTTTTTTTTTTTTTTTGAAGGAAAAAATCTGATTTAATGCAAGTTTGAACTCCTGACCTTTAGGCCGAAGATGAGCACCTAGGCGCTACATCACCACGTCTCCCGATCTCACATTTGTCATAGTTAAACACAATATTTTTTTTTCACTTCCAGGCTACAAGTTCTTGACACAATGAGTTCCAACAAAAAGGAGGTACAGCTGTATACTGCGTGGTTCTGTCCCTTTGCACAACGAGCATGGATGGCGCTTCTAGAGAAAAATGTGGATTTTGAGTACATTGAGACTGACCCTTACAATAAAACTCCAGGTTTGTGACATATTGGATGCTGCCATTGTAGCACTGTGACTAATTTGCTTGTCTGCAGGTTTGGTAGTTATTTGTTCGAATCCTTTCAAAGCAGGGATTAAATAAAAATCTTACTAAGTTGGCTGGCAGACCTAGTCTAAAATGGGTACCTGGAAACATTTATAGAAAGTAAAAGCGCCCTGTGTGATATTGGCCACATCACATATCAAGTACCTATTTGTCAATAAAAAATGAGATTAACCCTACCGGACCTGAGGCCTTGAACCTAACTGCCCCCTGTACCTGAGCTCCTGAGCATTAACGCGAAAAAAAGCATGATATACAAAAATTTTAGTTTCATGCAAACATGTGGCTAGAATAAGATGAAACTTAGAGACATTGTAGAAAATAGGCTTACCTTTTATCTAGCAGCAGTATTCTCCCTTTGTGTGCCAATCCACTTAGAAGGATCAGCCTTGTTTCACAAAGTGAACACCAGATGTTGCTATTTGAGGGACACGCCCCTTCTCCTATTATCCATCTATTTCTAGATTTATAATTTTCAAGATTTTCCTTATTTTTCGAGCTCTCATTGAATGTGTCACTTCAATTGTGAACATATTCTTCATGAAATTATGACACCGCAGAGTCTGAATAAACCAAAGTATCGATCACCTGTTGGACTGAAAAGCCTAGACCTACTTCACTTTCCTGTTGAATTGCTTTGTTCATCAGCCGCTCGTTTCGTTGTGAATTTTAAGAATTGTTTTCACGTAAAACTACACCAATTTTATCCAAACACGTGCGGGCGGACATCTGGTAAGACTGTCCACAAGGTCTGATCATGATTGGCAAGTTTTTTTAGTCTGTGATGCGTCTTTTTCACGTACTATGCAAATTGTCGAAAATTAGGGACAGCGGTGTAGCGCCAGGTTAAGAAATTCCCGAAAAGTCGGGTTACCGGTCTGGTAGGGGTAAACCACATGTCCAAATACCCTAACGTTAATCCGTTATCATTAGATGCATGTCAGTTGGCCCTTAACCGTGTAACAATATATGTCATCTTGTGTAACAGTGATCTTCAGCTGGGGGGGGGGGGGGCATGCCTCTCTAAAAAAATGGTGGAGGACATCAGTGGAGTTTGGGGAGGGGTCAAACAGTTTTTTAATTAAGTGCATTTGTAGTTGTAATAATCTGTTATACTAACATTCTTTGCACCAGCTTTAACAGTCATAAAGACATAACAGTGTTGCCAGCTTGATGTGGAAAGTGATCTCTGTTGTGATTGTCTAACACCAGACCAACAATAGAAAAAATAGCGGATTTGATCAAGACAGAACAATGTCACACATCACATTGATATTAAGACACTGAATAACGAGTTGTTGGTGATTGTTTCTTGTGTTATTTGACACGGCCCAGTGCTCGATGCATGACACTGACCATTATCATTCTCCGTGGATTGTGCATTCAATGCTATACATCCATTTTCAATTTGGGTGCCCTCCTGCTCTCACATCGTATTTTTTTAGGGACAAGGTTTCACATAGATTTTAGATAAACACGCTGGTAGACCTTTTCATGGCTCAGATGACCTGTACGCCAGTGCATCGAACTTAAAAGTTAACATTCACAATTTCATAGAGATAATAGAGAAAAAACAATTAACTAACCAATCAGACTAGCAAAACAAACAGTCAACAGTCCAAGTAACCACTCATTAAAAACAATATAAAAATAATGAATATAAAACAATAAGTTTCGTTATCGTCATCATCATTGTCCGGTTGTGCAGTTATATGTCACATAGGGCTTACAGTCTATGGCTCCATTCCATTCGGTTCTTTGCAAGCAATTTAATGCCAAGGATGGGATCCAGTCTAGCACCTTTAGCCTCTCTCATCAATGTTTGTTTTAGGGTATCTTTTGGGCATCCTCGCTTTCTCAATCATTTTATTTCCTATTTTATTGCCTGCTGGTGATTATCTGCTTGTTTCTTCTCAGGAGGTATCTAAAACAGCACCATTTTCTTTGTCTTATAACTGATCTTACTGTTGGTTGCCCAGACATTTCTCTTATTTCTTTTCTCCCCTTGAACTTCCTTTTATTTTCTGTTCAGCATTTCTTTTCTTGCAAGTTTGTAAAGGAAATTTTTATTTTAAAATGGGGGAGGAGCTGGTCAAACGCCTGTCCTTCTGCCTTTTTTGTCCAAGTTCGGGACCGGCAGTGGCCGAGATGTTGAAAGATTAGACAAACATTAACTCGATTTATTAAATGAATGATTTATGAATTGATATGACTGCACTTAGGGCATTTCCACACATGTTTTTTCCTTTTCCACAGAAGCCAACGAAGAATTCCCATTTTTATGCTGCCAGATGCAACCTTATTAAAAGCTGCCTGTCTTTTCCTATGCATTTAAATTCTCAATACCATCTGCTCATCCCCAGCTGAATCAGTCTCCCCGGGTATGGATGAACTGGCTGATCAATCGGGATCCCAGAGACCTACACCCTGTCCACTCCTTTTTTCATAAACCGGCTCATCGCAGCAGCCAGTCTGTTGGCCAGTTCATTACCTCTCCCCTTCCTCTATCCTCCCTCCCCACAACATGATGTCCTGGACAGATTAGTCCATGATATTTATTGAAAGCTGAACAAATCTTTGGACCCATCAAATATGCAAACAGCAGGGAATGGAGAGTGAGAAGCCATAGCGAAATTTATAATCTGTTTAAATCACTAATGATCACTGGCACCATGAGAGCTAATAGACTGAAATGGTTGGAGCATATTGAAAGAATGACAAGAAGTACGAAACCAGACCAAGACTCTTCTAGCAGACTCTAGCACAAAAAAACAACCGAGGCCTGCATGTCAGAAAAGTTTACTATGCAAGAGCTGGAAGTTGGAATTCGAGAGTTGAAAATGAAGAAAGCCCCAGGGGCTGACGGCATTACAAATGAATTTCTCTCTCATCTTGGACCTGCTGCCAAGAAGTTTCTTCTCTGCATTTACAACCAGAGTTGGCAAAAAGATGTAGTACCGTCAGCCTGGAAATAAGCTCTCATCCAGCCTATCCTTAAAAAAGGTGGAGACAGAAGAGACCCAAAAAGCTACAGACCCATCAGCCTTCTTAGTTGTGTAGGAAAATTGATGGAAAAATTAGTAAATAAAAGACTAATGTGGTTCTTGGAGACAAACGCTGTAATCACCACAACACAGACAGGATACAGACAGCACAGAAACACAGAGGACCAGTTGACATATCTGGCACAGGAAATAGAGAATGCCTTCCAGGAAAAAAGAAAGTTCTTGCTGTCTTCTTTGACCTCTTCGTGCTTTCGATACAGTTTGGAAAGAAGGCCTTCAACTAAAACTGCTACAGGCAGGAGTTGTGCACAACATGTACAAGTGGTTCAAAGACTTTCTTTTCCAACGCAGAGCCAGATTCAGAATTGATGGACACATCGGCAAACTGGCAAAACTAAGAGAAGGAGTTCCCCAGGGCAGTGCGATAGCACCAACTCTGTTCCTGGTTTACATAAATGATATCACAGCAACCTGCCACCAGCATGTTTCTAATACCCTACATGCCGATGACTTTGCAGTTTGGACAACCTCTGAATACACTACCACAGCCTTATGTCTGTTACAGAAAACTGGAAAATGTAGAAGCCTGGGCCGAAAAGTGGGGTCTAAAGCTGAATAATTCAAAAAGCACAGCATCACTTTTCTCTCTCTCCCCCAAAAAAGAAAAATCGAAATTTGGATCAAAAAACAGCTCATTCCACAGACTGACACACCTACCTTTCTTACACTTGATTCGCGACTAACTTGGAAGTCACATGTAGAAGCAGTACAGGGGAAAGCATTCAAGAAGCTTGCAGTGATGAAAAAATTAGCGGGTACCACATGGGGCGATAACTCCAGAATGTTTAAACAAGTATATACTGGAGCAGTCAGGCCAGTTATGGAATATGCCTCCACTGCATGGGCTGCAGCAGCCAAGACAACAATGGGAAAACTGGACAAGGTTCAGAAAATGGGATTAAGGATTGTTCTCGGAGCCATGAGAACCATCCCCATCAGAGAGATAGAGAGAATAGTAGATACTGAACCACTCAAACTCAGAAGACAATACAAAACTCTTTTACAGTATGAGAAATTAAAAAGATTTCAAAGTCACCCACTGCATTTTAAATTTCAAGAGAGAACAAAAAACAGAATGAAGTGTCAGAGCCCCAACCACCTTGCTAGAGAACTGTACAGACAGCAACAAGATCTGCTTGAAAGAGATGTTGCACTGTGCGAAAAACTTAGACCAGAACCATGGACAAGCAAGCCATAGAAGGCAAATGTAGTCCTAAAGGTACCAGGGATCACTTCAAAAGATGCCCAGACGGAGACACAACAGAGAACCCTGGCTCTTGCTATGCTTGATGAGAAGTATCCAAACACCACTTGGACCCAGGTTTTCACTGACGGCTCTGCTACAGATGCAGTCAGAAAGGGGGGTTGTGGAATATACATTAAACCCCCTAGCAGTAGAGCAGAAACTCTGTCTCTACCAGAAGGTGACATCTGCACTAACTTCAGAGCTGAGGCAACTGCCCTCCTTTCTGCAGTCCAACATCTCATCACTCAAGAATACAGAGGGCACAAACTTGTTATACTTAGTGACTCATTGTCTGTTCTCCAAGCACTATAAAGCAAAAAACAAGACAAACTAATTGCAGATCTAAGGACCAACATTGGCTTACTCTCCAAGGAAGCAGAACTGGTCTTGCAGTGGATACCAGCCCACTGTGGTATTCAAGGAAATGAGAGAACAGATGAGTTGGCAAAAGCTGGGAGTAATCTTCCACAATCTCATCCACCACACAGCTACAAGGAAACCAAAACAGCGCTAAAGCAGTCTTTTAAGGGGGAGTGGAGAAAGCAGAATGGAGATTACAGATCAGAGAGTGACAGCATAAACAAACACAACAGGAAAGAACAAACAACAATTTTTAGACTTCGGACTGGACACTGTTCTTCGAGCACACCTGTACAGGATAGGCATATAAGAAACTGCAGCCTATAATTGTGGAGCAGAAAGACAGACCCCTGAGTACATACTGCAGTACTGCCCCAACCTCTCCCAGCAAAGACTGTGGATCTGGCCCAAGGGAGCCACATTGCAAGAGAAGCTATGGGGGACCGGTGGCGACCTTAAACGCACAATCCTTTTTTTGACCCAGACGGGACTCAATGTTTAGCATGACTGATGTCGAATGCAGAAGAAGAAGAAGAAAGAATTACAAAGAAGTAAAAACTATACACAAGGGAGATGAATAGGCGTAGGCCACGAGGCAGACCAAGAAGAAGATGGAGAGATGATATCCAGACAGACCTGCAAACACTTGGTGTCACCGACTGGAAAGAGAAGGCCAACCAGAGAGATGAATGGAGGCAGGTAAAATCTGCAGCAATGACCCTCAAGGGCTCGGAATGCTGAAGAGGAAGAAGTAGAAGATGTAACACTGTCATGGTACTACTGTATTTATTTGAATTTTTTTTCAGAATTTTTGGCTGTGAATCCGAGGGGTCTTGTACCTGCAATCGTCCACAAAGGTCGCTCAATTTATGAATCTACTATCTGCATTGAATATGTTGATGAGGTGTGGCAGCATGAGCCGAGACTGCTGCCAACAGATCCTTATGAAAGAGCTGTGGCGAGAATTTGGGTAAGTGGTAAACACCTGAAGAAAGTGTATGACAGTACTGAATATGTTGGAGTTTCAAAGAAATTTCCTGGTACCAGTTTTATTTTGTTGGGTTGTCCCCTGAGCTATTTTTGGAGATTGAATTCAGACTACCATTTTAGTAAGCAAACACATTAACCTTCAAGCCACTGCAGCTCCAGAGTAGTTCTGAATTGTGATAGATGTAACTTTTAAAGGTGAGTTGAGTTGAGTCAAGAATTGACATTACAGCACTCGGGGCATTTCCATGTGTGCTCTGTCCTCATCTTCAGCAGTCAGCGCAGAGTTCCAACTTTTAGAGGAAACCAACCTTTTTTTTTTTTGCAGAGATGGTACTTGCTTGATTGATTGACTGGCTGATTGAACGATCATCTGTTTGTCTCTTCTTCCGGGATAAAATTATGAATACACACACACACATATATATATGTATTAGAAAAATAATAATAATTAAATAAATGCACATTTTTATATTATGGTAGAAATGGAATCTGTACAAACATCTGTTTAATGCATTCTTGTTTAATTCAGTCATTGACTATCTTCCGTGCTACAGTTAAACCATCCAATAACTTGTACCTCCCTACCTTTTGAATCTAAGATCCTCAATATTGGTGCATCGGCCAGATTTGAAGAAAAAAAAAGACATTAGCTTTGCAGGTCGACCCAGCCCTTGAGTGGGTTCTAGGTACAGTCCTGGGAAGTAAAGGTGGCTGACGAAATGCTAACTTAATCACCCACCAAGTGCTGATTGGTCTATAAAAAATAGGTCTAACCGGTTCATTTTACATTTTTCCATCCCAGAAAGAGAGTGACTTCCCTTGCCCTTCATGTCTCTTCGCATCGCAGGACCTCTTCTATGTTGCAGGGTGTCATGTTTTCCTTATTGTCAATGCTTTAACCCTCCCCTCATTTTTCTTCTTCTCATCGCTAGCTTGCGTGATTATTTTCATGTTGTGCTACCAGTGCGATTGTTCAGGACTATGGAAACAGCGTGTTTTTTTTATTTCTATGTTCCCTGAAAGTGTTTTCTTTCTCTTAGGGAAAGCCACCGGCAGTGAAGATAGACATACAAAAACATTCCAGTTTTGATATTGCGGCACTTTCCGCTAAAGTACTTCTTTTATGTACATAGGCGGCTGGGGTGCTTGAAATAAACTCATGACCAGTCAACCTCCCACAAACATATACGCAGAGCGAACGCCAAATCATAACATAACACCCCCTCAACATAGGAGAGGTCCTGCGACCTGATGAGGCACGAATAGTGTTAATAGTGCACAGTTAATGGTGCATATGATTTTCATCTGCATCTATTGAAAGAAGACTATCTTTCATCTTTCCGCACAATATTACATGTACTTTTCATCTTTTCATTTGATATAAACAATAATGTTTTGATCTATTAAGTTGGTGTGGCATGTATGTCTCATTTATTTAGTTGGTTCGGCACCCATCTTTCATCTGTTTAATTAGCGTTACTTGTATCTTTTAACTAATTACTTTCACTTATATTTGTTCACTGTTTTTGCATCATTGGGTTGTGAATCGATACAATATATATATATAATCAGTGACAAGCTACATGTTTAAAGCACTTTGGAAGCAAGTGAACAATGCTGAAGTACAAACAGATTAACACGATGTGGAAAGTATGAAGTCCCATTGGAAATACTTACCGGGTTGTCTCCATTAGATTTATAGTGAACAGGTGGGATGAAGAAAAGGAAGTCAAGAGTGTTTTTGACTTCGGTAGAAGACTGGCGGTTTTTCTCAGACATCTCGTTTATTATATTCCATAGGTCTGTACACTGTTGACGTAAGTTTTTAGGGGACCATCTCCGCAATTGAGGCATCACTCACAGTCAACAGTGTGGCGCGGTGATTTATGTCACAGGCGTGAGGGGAAGTTAAGTCCAACATGATGTGTATAAGGAGATACTCCGTACGTCACTCGGGCGCCAGTCCTTAACTATCCTGGTTGTACGGAACCTCATGCAAGACCCCTACAGCACGTCCTCGTCGTGCCCCACGGATAAATTCTCAAATGAGCATTAACAGAGCTGTCAGGGGATCTCAGAGTTCGGCGGCCCCCAGAGGTGATGTGTCCTTGTGGCTCTCATCAGCCCGCCCCCAAACGCTTGGGTGAAAAATGTTATCAAAACTCATTAGGAACATGAGTAGGTTTGCCAAACGTACAGCCAAAATTACAACCCTTGGTTAAAAGACTGCGGAGTAAAGAGAACATTGTTCACTGCACATCCTCTTTAACCCTCAGTGTCGTCGTCACCGCGCTGAGGTACACCACAACAGCAACCATCCATAGGCTGGCCATTCATGTACATCCTCGGTTAACCCTCAGTGTCGTCGACACCGCAACAGCAACCATCCTAATTGTCCGACAAAACTAGATCATACGGATCAAAATCTGACCATCAAAATTTGTATTGAACTGAAAAAGACCGAATGTCCACACCCAAAGACCCCACTCGCCCGAGTGTTGGGACAAAACTGATAACGATATGCCTGATGCAGGATGTAAAATTCTGTCGGGCTAACGGCTCGTCAAAGAAAGCTAACGTGCGAAGAAAAAAAAAGAATGTACCTATCTATGTGGTCACAAAAGTCCAAAACCCACGGGCTGCTCCCCGCTGACTTCCAGAGGGCGCAGCCCCTGTCGAGCGGGAGGCCTGATACGGTTGTGAGGTTAAGCAGGCATGTGCAGGACGTGACGATTCCTTGTGTGAGCCCAGAACCAGAGCGCCATGTGCCGGCTCTGCATGCATGGAAGCCTCCTTGGATGGCGGGGAATGCCCATGATCTGCCCCTGCCTTCCCTTGAGGGCTAACTGTTCCACAGGGGGCTGCCCCAAAGGGGTACTCCGATGGCAATACCTGCGGAGGAGACAAAGTGGACACCACACAAATCAGGCAACGTCTCGACCCACACAAAACAATGGCCACAGTCAACCTAGAAATAGGCCTGACGTCTTCCTTCGAAGTCGGAGTACAGCTGCCCATGAGGCAGGGAAATGAAAAACGGTTGTACACGCAAAAATCAGGTCCAGGTGAAAGCCAAAAGTCCAAGCGGACGATTAACCGGGACCTACCACTGGAATTCACAGCCGGTGATCGATAAAAAAAAAAAAACAGTCAACAGTTGGCGTGGCAACTTGTTACCTCATAATTTTCTGCCAGATTTTATTAGTGATTGTGTTGGATCTGCGATTATGCTGGAAAGCCTGAAAAGAGAGCATCAATGGTAAAGGCCCCTCGGAAGCAGTCAGCCTTGTGTCGAGAAGGTGGACCATTGCAATATACTGTATGCTGTTACACTGAGGGTCCAATAAAGGTCACTTGAGAATTAAGCCAGTTGTGGATGTATTGTGCTCAAGTGTCTGTTTCTGTCAAGGAATCCCTCACTGATAATGGTGTAGTGAAAAGCTACCAGTGGATCTGGATCTACACTCGAAGAAAAGGCAAATGGATGTATACTCAAATGACTACTAGTACCATCATCACTATAATTCTTCTCTAGCTGCTAAGGTGAGGAGGTAGCGCTTATGTGAATATCCTAGGTGTTGTTAACCCAACAGTCTAATGTCCTTCATATATACAACTATTAAAGCATGTGCTCTTGAATGTCTTCCACAGGTTGACTTCATTGGCAAGAGAATTATCCCAGTTTTCTACAGGATACTTCAAAAGGAAACCGAAGAGGAGCGAGAGGAAGGGAAAGTGGAACTGTTGAAAAACATACAGTCCATAACTGAAGCAATGTCTGAGAAGGAACCATTCTTCTTTGGTGAAAACTTTGGAACCGTGGACATCGTTTTGATTTCCTACGCATCACGTCTGTTTGTTCTGAAGCACTATCGCAACTTTGAAGTGCCACATAATGAGACATTTGCACGTTTCCACAAGTGGCTGGAAGCTGCTGAAAATCGGCCATCATTCAAAGCCACAATGCCAGAACCCGATAGAATACTTGCTTCATATGAAAAATATGCAAACAACACAGCCCAAAGCGAACTAGCTGTCGCCATAAGAAAAGGCACTGCCATACCATAGTTGTGTACCTTATCTCCTGTTCATATTTCAGAATGAATATGTCAGCAGGCACCAACCAGAATGATGTATTAAGTGTTAATTTTGTTGCCATTGAGAATTTGTTATTTAAAATTTTTTATTAAAGATGATTTTAGAACTCACCTTGGATTCAAGTTCGACCCAGCCCAAAATGGATGCCATGTAAAGTTCTGGAAAGTAAAGGCTGCCGCTGTAATATTGACCACATACATCGCCCATTGATTGCTGATCTGTCTATAAAAATAAGAAAAAAGGTCCCTTTTCCACTCCTTTAGGCATGGGTGGGAATATAGGGCTAGACCTATATTTTTATAGACCAATGAACACTTGGTGGGTGATGTGGTCAGCATCACGCTGGCCGCCTTTACTTTCCAGGACTGCACCTGATACCCACTCAAGGCTGGGTCGACCTGGGAGTCAAGGTCATTTTTGAAAACAGGTGGGCTTCCAGTCGCCAATGCCACGGGGACTCCCTATAAAAAAATGAGTCTAGCATTGAATGCCCAATGGTCCCTGTGTGGGTTCCGGGACCCATTGTGGGGAAAACAAGAACAGACTCACTGCCTCCCCAGCAAGCATGTCATAAGAGTAGACTAATTGGGGGTTTCCTTTCGGAGTGCATCAGCCAGAGAGGCAGGGAACCAGCAGTCTGCATAGAATAAGTAAAAACAGGTGTGGATAAACAACCATAATTTTTCGCAGGAGTCTACAGCCGGTAAACACGAAGAAAAGAAAAGAAAGGCCAATTGCACAATTGTAACTTCTTTTTTTGGTTGACATATGGTCATGTCTACTGCAGATGCTGCTTGTTATGTTTTGAATAAATTTGTGATGAATAAATTGTTAGTTGTATTACACTGAACAGTTCTCATTGTTATTGTTTACATGATATTTTACCCTGCGGGGGTTCCGGGAATCCATTTAGAAGAGAGAAAAAAAACAACAGACTCACTGTCCTCCCCCTAATAAGCATGTCATAAAAGTCGACTAGGTAGTTTCTTTCACAGTTGGAGTGCATCTGCCTGAGAGGGGAGGAACCAACAGTCTGCATATAAATAAGCCAGATATGTAAATAGATACATACAAAACTCTATCATCATGTAGCAGGTCCTTTGCAGAATGTCGCTCTCATCACAGTCTGCCTGAAAGAAACTCGGTCTCTCGTCAGTTCTTCCGCCTAATGAACTTTCACACTCAAGGAGTCACTTATATCCTGTACCCATCTTCGTGTCAGTTGGCCCCTGCCCCTCCTTCCTGGTACTATGCCCTCTGCTATAATTTTTTCCAATCCGTCGTGGCGCTTGATATGACCAAAATATTTCAGCTTTCGAGAAAGGATGCTGTTTATTAGCCAATCTTCCTTGATGTTCAGATCTTTTAAGATGTCAATATTTCTCATCTTCTTTGTCCAAGATATTCTGAGAATCTTTTTATAGCATTTCAGCTCAAAAGCCTCTATTCTCTTTCTTAAGGACTGAGAGATAGTCCACGACTCACATCCGTATGTAGCCACAGGGAAGATGCAAATCAAATTTTCATCTCCTTGTTGGTGCTTAACCATAGAGTTTTTAGGCTGTTCAATTTTTGCATTGCTATCTTCAAAACTCTAGTTTTGGAAAAAGACCGGTGGACGAAGAATCATAACTTTCCGCTTGAATTTTCAATGGGTGAATGCTAACAAGAAATACAACTGGAGACGTTAGGAAAGCTTATAACTTCGAGTTACCTGAAGCCTAAAACATACATTGTCATTTCTTTCATCACATTACTCTATATATCAGCAGCTTCTTCTTCTTGTTCTAAACGTTCATCTGCTGTAAACTCTAGTGGAAAGTTTTGATTGTTTGTCCACTTCTGAGCTTTAATCTTGTTCCAGAACTAAGAGTTTTGTTTGCAAATCCGTTTTGGAAATCTGGCTAATTTATATGCAGACTGCTAGTTCCCGCCTCTCGAAAAGATGCACTCCGACTTAAAAGGAAAAAAAGGTTAGTTGCGTAACCTTTACAGGACGTTGCAGAACCAACCCCAGCAAATTTACGTCAAGTAGTTTGCCATTGCTACTGGACGGTCGGCCTCCTAATACCACTGTCGAAACCAACACAAGGCGTATGGCCCGCAGCTGCGATCTAACCCGGTACCCCGGCATTACGAAGCGTTCGCATCGACTTAGCCACAGAGCCGACCTAAAAGGAAAAAAAAATTCTTATTAGTCGACTCCCACGGGGCCCCGGAGGCCACACGGGGAATATCATTAGCAATAATCCAATCTTCAAACGGCTGTTGCTTTAGCAACGTCACCCTTTTCTTCTGCTCCCCTCCTAAGTCTATATCTCCTCGTCCTTCCAAGTCTCAGTGGAGAGCAAGCCTACAATCAATGACGACAACCCGATGTTGAAAACAGGATTGGTATTTTTGTTTATTTTTTGCATAAATTTTTCTGTAGGAAGAGGTAGATGTTCCAAAGCTAATCCTCATTAAAGAGAAGTGTAGTGATCCAGGTAACTTCCACACCAGTCTTCAGCTGACTGCTGTAATGATAAAAATGATATTCACTTAAACGGCACAATTCTATGACGAATTTTTTTATTTTTTTATCAGTTACAACAGGTATGCAGTAACGTGACCTATTTTTTGGATAGCGCGTATAGCGTGACCGTGTAAATTTACACTTCTTGTGTCTTAAATGACCTTGTATGTTATCCGCATTCATGCAAATATTTCATATCTTAATGCTGTCCGAGGGTAATTAATTACCCTAAGAAACGTTACACGGGTTGTTCAAAACAACGCTTCTCAAAGTAGGAGTTCTGACTGCACTGGGAAATAATAAAGAAAGTATAGAACTTTTTTTTCTGAAGCCTTAAGATATATTGGATGTATGGCGCTGGTCCAAGGGCGCCAAAACTCAGGGGTTTACGTCACTAACCCCCCCCCCCCCCCCCCAAAAAAAAAAACCCTGCTTCTTAAAAAATGAATAAGGGAGCTAAGAGGCTGCTCTAACCAATTATTCTAAATAAGTAATTGTTTGTTAATTTCAAGTTATTTGAAATATTATATGCAGTTCAGTACAATAATATTTTTACTACGCACTCAAACCATGTTTAGGTTCCTTGCGCCTCCCCAAAACCAGAACATTTGTAAGGGGTCTAAAGGCCCGCCCAGTGTTCTCTCGGTTTTGTCGGCACCCCGCATTCGAGCTCCATATTTTTGTAGCCCAATAGGCACTAGATGTCATCGTAGACTGGGTAGCCCATTTGCTGGCCGGTAGACGACTACGTCGCCGGTCGGACAGTATTTAGGTCTGTCTTCTTTTATCGCAACAACACTGCTGGAGTCATTTTCATGACTTTTGATGGCATGCAATTCTAAACATTTAAATTTTATAAGAATTGTTAACGGAGCTACGGAGCACGTACTCTGTGCTTGACGTCAGCTTCAGCGAGCAGCAGAGAGAGTGAAGAGGATGAAATGGTGAAAAGAAGAAAGCAATAACCAGATTGTGACCGGTACCATCAGTATTGGAACTCTGCGCTGGCTACTGAAGATAAGGACGGAGCACACATGGGAATGCCCAAAGTGCTGTGATGTCAATTCTTGACTCAACTCAACTGCTAAACCATTTTATACGGCGCACAAAACCTAGTCACAATTATAACCTTAAGCACCTCATTCGAGAAGGCTGGTTGAAGGTTAAGAATTGTCTCCCGCAAAGCAAGCACTCGATGAGTGTTTTGGTCAACTTGACGCAGACTGCCTGGCTTCCCAGCTCCGGGATCTTTCCTTGTAAATTATGACAAGAATATGTTCTACTCTGCTAAAGTCCAAGCGTTGTCCAAACTTTTATGATGTCGACATTCTGCATTAATAGCTGTGTTTTGCAACATTCCGGTACGCTGTCCTTTTACGATCAGGATATATAGTCTGGAGCTTTCCATCATAGAGCAGAGGCGATTATGGTACTCTCAATGTCGAGGCGTGCAAGAAATGGCTGTACTCGCCGCTTACACTTTCCATGCCCAAGAAAAAATGTTTTATTTTGCTTTCTTTTTTTCCAGATTACTGATCATTGCTACTTACAAAAACACCACTTAGTTTATGTCTCGAACATAGCTAAAAGAACTATCGCCGCATGCTTACGCCGCTTATGCAGAAATTGTAACATGTAAAAGCAACCAGTTTCTAGAAGGACAATGCTAGCTGCGCACACATACTCTCAACAGGAAAGCGACGAGGAGGAAAATATCACGTGATACTTTCTCCAGTGTAATCATAACCTGCTAACGCTTATACTCGCCACTGACGTATTTCTTCCACTCCCCATTAAGGCACACTTCTTTGACCTGTGCGGTCTTTCTGGGCGTTACACTTGATTCGCGACTAACTTGGAAGTCACATGTAGAAGCAGTACAGGGCAAAGCATTTAAGAAGCTTGCAGTGATGAAAAAATTAGCGGGTACCACATGGGGCGCCAACTCTAGAATCCTAAAACAAGTGTATACTGGAGCAGTCAGGCCAGTCATGGAATATGCCTCCACTGCATGGGCTGCAGCAGCCAAGACAGCAATGGGAAAACTGGACAAGGCTCAGAATATGGGATTAAGGATTGTTCTCGGAGCCATGAAAACCACCCCCATCAGAGAAATAGAAAAGATAGCAGATGCTGAACCACTCGAACTCAGAAGACAATGCAAAACTCTTTTACAGTATGAGAAATTAAAGACTTCAAAGTCATCCACTGCATTTTAAATTTCAAGAGAGAACAAAAAACAGACTGAAGCGTCAGAGCCCCAACCACCTTGCTAGGGAACTGTACAGACAGCACCAAGATCTGCTTGAAAGAGATGTTGCACTGTGCGAAAAACTTAGGCCAGAACCATGGACAAGCAAGCCAGAGAAAGCAAATGTAGTCCTAATGGTACCAGGAATCACTGCAAAAGATGCCCAGACGGAGACACAACAGAGAACCCTGGCTCTTGCTATGC